GTGTGCTTGCTGGAATACAGCTTTGATCTTTGCAACTTAAATAGCAGATGAATTGAAATGAATGCAAGAAAAATATTAGTGCAGAGATCCTCTAGTAAATACCTGTAACCAGACCCCACAGCCTTCAGATCCTTTTGAAGTGCCTTATCACTTACAGCCAAACCAGCCCTTATGTTCTTGTCCACTGCCTCAAGGTGAGGCTCTTCTCTTCCTACCCCTTTCCTACTTTCTTCCCTCCATTCCCTTTGGGCTCCATGGCTTTTAGAGGAAGTGCAGCTTGCCTTCCCAGGACACACATTCCTATCTGCTTGGATCCAGCATGAACCAGCCTTTGGCCAAACAAGGTGAGACCTACCATCTGAGCAATTAGCAGATGTGAGCTGCCATCCCCTCCTTTGAACAAGAGGGATTCAGCAGACTGGAAGGAAACACATTGCCAGTCAGCAGGAACATTCATCACCCAGCACTCAACTAAACACAGGTGCTTGCTGCAGCTTAAACATCTGCCTTTAGAAGATGGTCTCATTCCAGGTCAATTAAGAGCTCAGAACACATCTTTAAGGGGTCTTTAAACACAACAGCCCACTGACCAGTGCCTGTTCCCAGTGATTCTTGAGCCCACTGTGCAGACAAAGAAGTGCCTATGGCCACAACTATGGAGTTGCCATGCCTTTGAAGCTCCTGCCACTTCGAGGTTCCAGCCTGCCCAGAGCCCTAAACACAGCCAAGTCTCAAGGGGGATCAGATCATTCCTGTTTTCATAAATTTTCTTCTTTAAGACCAGGCTTGCTAGGAAGCATGAGAGAAGCACTGCCATGCAGAAACACACAGCTCAACACAGGACATGGAGGCATTTCCAGAACAAAATAGACCTTTTGGTTTTGGGTTTTTTTTTTCTGCTTTAAAGGAAAGTTGACTCAGCAAATATTTCCTCTGCTAGCATTTCAACCACATGTTCCAGCAGAAGTCAGCACACATCTGGCATGCTGCAGTGCCACTGCCAGAAAGATCACAGCCTCACCAAACAATGGAAGTGGAGGAAGAGGGAGCAGCAGTCCAGGCACCGAGCACTTCTGGAACACATACATGGCAAAGGACCTGCGTGAGCTCCACACCTCCCAGGTCTTTCTCCAGTGCTCTTTCCAAACACCATCCATAGGCAGAGAGACAATGCCCTGCAGCCTACAAAACTTACCACCAGCCTGTAAAACTAACACATCAAACTGCACATTTTGGCTACGCTGATGGCGCCTGAGATTTTTTACAGTGTCTGCGAGCTGGACAGCTGCATGTTACCCCCAGTGCTGTAGGATGTGCTCCTGCTCAGCAGGACAAACAAGGAGTGTACGTGATTGGAGCAGTACAGAAACTCCAGCGACTGCAGAGTGGCAGGAAAGGCAAGACGCAGCCCCCACAGGCAGGTCTGCACATCCCAGCTGCCAGCGGTACCTCCTGGCACACAGGGAATGCTGTGGCAGCTCCAAAGGGCCCTACTACTTTTAAGCACACATTCCCTTGCCAGAAAGAACCTTCCCAGAAGGCTGCCAAGGCGGATGGCAATCACGGCGCTAATCAGCTAAGTAAGTGCTGCTTTTCGTGCTTATCAGCTGTAAATTGGACAATACTTGCCGCCTGGCAGCAGGGCTCAGCCACGGCTCCAGATACGGGCGGGCAGCAGCCCAGCAGATATCTTTCTCTCAGAGGCAGTATTCCACCCAGGTGCTAAACTAAGATTGCCCTTGATTTTACAGCACAAACTACAAAGCAAACTCTACAGCTGTGCACGGTGAGATAGAAGGGACTGCAAACAGCTACTGCCAGGGTTCCTAAGTGAAGAAACGAGGTGATGCGGCATGGGGCAGCCCTGGGACCCTTCCAAGCTGGGCTGGAACCACGCACAGCCAAGACCTCGGGCTCCTCAGACAAGGAAAATGGTGCTTGGAGGTCAATGGGGAGAAGAGAAGAGAAGAGAAGAGAAGAGAAGAGAAGAGAAGAGAAGAGAAGAGAAGAGAAGAGAAGAGAAGCTCAGGCCCTGCAGTGAACGGTGTGGAAAGCAGCAGCCGGGAAAGCCAAGGGGCCGCGGCGCTCGGCACGGGCCGGCAGAGCGGCACGGGGGGCGGGGCAGAGAGCTCATCCAGATGCGCTCAGCAAGGGACAAAAACCCCGCAGCGGCCGGGAGGTCAATCTCCGCGGGGGGCAACTCACCGCTGCCCACTGTTTTTCCTCCAGGCTCTGATCTGACCAGAATTCATAGGAAAAACCACGCAGCCTTCCCGGTGTCAACCCTGCCCACGGGGCCGGAGGGGCGCGGGTGGGAGCCAAGCCCCGCTCAAGGGGTCTCCGGGAGCCCTCCCCGGAGCGCGCTGCTCCGGGGGCGCCCGTTCGCCGTCTCCCAGACGGCAAATGTCTGGCGTATTTGCATCCCTGTGGATTCCGGCACGACGCTCCCCCTTCGGAGCGGGCGGGCGGGCAGGGCGAGCCGGCGCACGCCGGGGAAGGAGAGCCGTCGAGGCGCCCCGGCGGCTCCCGCAGCGCAGCGGGGCTGCGCGGGGCGGGGGCGCGGCCGGCCCGGAGCGGGGCACAGACGGGGCCTCACGCAGCCCCGGCTCCGCGCCCGAGTCCGGCGGGACGAGCGAGCCCCATCACTGGGAGCCGGGGAGTGCGGACCACCGGAGGCTCGGCCGCTCCACCTTCACCCCCGGGGCCGGCCGTGGACCCCCGCCCGCCGGCCCCAGCGCGGCCCAGCCAGGGACTGGAGCGGAGGCGCGAAGCTCCGCCGCCCCCGCCCCGCCGCCGGGACCCGCACTCCGTGCCCGGGGCAGGCTGCCGTGGCTGTCCCGGCCCGCACTCACCCAGCACCAGCAGTGCCCGCACCGCCGCCATCCTCCGCGCCGCCGCTGCCGCCATCCCCCGCGCCGGTCAGCGTGCCCGCCGGACCCCAGCCATGCCGCCGCCGCCCCGCCCGCCGCCGCCGGGAGGGGTTCCGGAGGAGGGGCGGCCACCGGAAACCGGGCGGGGTCGGGAGGAGCGGGATCCCCCCGGCAGCGCCCGGCTCGGCCCCCCGTGCCTCCGTCGCGGTGCTCGGGGCTCGCTGGCGCCATCCCCCGCAGAGCCCCGCCGGCCCGGGGGGCGGGAGGGTCGCGCCGTTCTCCTGTGTCCCTCCTGCTCCTGCCAGCGCCCCCGGGCGCCCCGAGCAGCGAGGAGGGGACGCGGCTCCCCTCCCGCCCAGGGGCTCCTCGTAGCCGGGCTGTTTGTTAAACTGATGGCAGGAGATCCCGGTCTGTACCGGTGTGAAAGACCCTGTGAAGGCACCGGGGCAGCGAGCTTTGCACCCTGCTGGGGGCAGAGGGCTGGACACACAGTCCCGATGTACAGCACGCTGCCGGAGCCAAGCTGAGGCACAGCAGCAAGAGGTGGTCTGGCCATCTGCACAGACTGGAGCCTCCCTGCCCGACCCAGTGCCTCTGGTGGAACCTGCTGCAGCCCTGCACCACCGGCTCTGGCAGTTGTCACTCTGAACACCAGCTTTCCAGCTGGTTTGTTGAGCCTCCAAAATACTGGTTTTGGTACTGTGTGGGACACTAGCCATCAGACATGGCCCTGAGCACTGCTGGATCCATCACAGAGGATGCTGGAGCCTTTACTCAGCAAAACCCGTGGCAGAGGAGTGGGGTGTGCTTGCTGCACCAGAAGCCCCCACCATTACCACTTGGGGTGTGCTTGCTGCCCTGTGTGGCAGCACCAGCGTGGTGCTGCACCAGAAGCCCCCACCATTACCACGTCCTGGGAGACCACAGAGCTGCTCCCGCAGGGCATGCAGCTGTGGGACTTTGCCAGTAACCACAGACCAGTCCCCTCTCAGGAAAGCCACCACCTCCTGCCACCAAAAGCTGTTCTGGTTTTGGTTGGGGACCAAGCAGCCTCAGAGGAAGTGGTAGCCTATTCAACTCCCTCTAGAAAGGAAGTTTTACTTCCACCTGCAAGCTCAGGGCAAGCAAAGCGGCTGATAAGAGAAAGGGTCTCTGTCCCACACACACTAGCAGACTTTGCTCTCCTACTGATACTGAGCCACCTGATCCCAGCTTCAGGGACTTCTCTTTTCCCAGGAGGGAAAGTGAGCTAAGCACTGCTGATCCAGGTATCATGACTTCTCTGAGGAGCACTTGTGACTGCATCTCCCAGGTCCATATTGCCTTTAGAGCTCCAGGAACATGAACTGTATCACAAGGTAGCCAGGAAACCACCCTCTGCCCTTGCTGTGCTTACCCAGACTCTGCCACAGGCTCCCTTGCAGAGAAGGGTGTATCACGCTCAGCCCCACTCTTCCCACAGCCACAGGCTGGGCATCCAGGCTCCCCACAGCCAGAGGGCAAGCCAGCCTGGAGGGGACAGTAAGCAGCACCTGACTGGAGAAAGCAGTGGCAGAAGCCACCTGTGCTGCTGGGCAGTGAGGCCACAGAGGGGGCCAGGCCTTCCAGCCATTCCTACCCCCCAGCTGCAGTATAGGGCCAGAGATGGAGTTTGAGCAACAGTGGCAGGCAGCAAGGCATACAGCATGAGAAAACTCATTGGGAACTGTGTCAGAAGCAGTTAAAAGTCTCTCCACACCAATCCTGTTAAGCACACCCCTGCAGGAGTGCACCAGTTCCTGCAGCCAACCAGCAGGATATGCAGCTGCATTTGAATTCTCACCCCCAAAGATCAGGTGCCCACGTGGAGTACAGCCACAGTGTCCAACTTCTGCACCAGGGGAAAATGAGGCAGACCCCATCCAATAGACAAACCACCTTACCTGCAGGGGAGTGTGCTCACAGTTCTTGCAGCAGCAACAGAAGCAGCCTGTGCAGTAATGCAGAGGGTGTGCTTGGCTGAAGAGGAAGCACTAACCTGGGCTAATTAGAGCCATAGCTTTGAGCCTGGAGCATCTCCAGGGAGGAGACAGCAAGGCTCTTCCCAAGCCAACCCAGCTGCCCCCATTCACACCATCAGTGATCTGTAGCTGCTGTGGTTTGAGCTGGGTTTATTTACTGTTGGCACTGCCAGCTTCCCCCAGGAAAGCATGATGGTATTCATGGATGTGAAACTCACTAATCAATGCACAACACAACACACAGTGCTGCCGCTCCTGCTGCTCTCTGGACCAACCCCTCTCAGCTCACAGCAGGTCTGCAAAACAGCACCCACAAGAGATGGACAAAGGCTGCCAGCACCCTAGTCCTGGCTGAGGAATGGTGAGTGACAGCCAGGGAGGCACCCAACAGTCCAAAGAGAACCACCCCAGCAGGAAACATTCAGGATTCACACCTGAATTCAAGCCCTTTTCCCCTTTGAACTGTCTCTGTAGCACCATTTCAGTGGCTCTGTTCAGGACAGGCAGCCATTCTCACAGGAAGCAGGCAGAGGCCACACTGAGCCCCACATATTGTACACAGTCCTTCGCCCTCTAGACACCACCACCTTGTGATGCTGTCCACCAGCCTCCCTGGCACAGCTCTGCAAGCCCAGTGCAGGTCAGGCTAGCACATCACACAAGCCCACAGGGTTACTGCCTTAATGAGCCCCCACCACGTGCTTGCTCTAGAGGTCATCTTTGGTGCCAGCTCCAGCCTCAGCTGCGGGGGCCGGTGAAGCGCAGGCCAGGCAGGATTTCCCCTGGCAGGACCCTTGCAGGGCAGGCTGGAAACCCACCCCGCAGTCTCTTAGTCTCTCATTGTGTGGCTGAATAGTGGGTGGGGATGTGCTCCGCCTCCTCTGGGTCAGGACTGCCACCCACAGCGGGTCCAGCGGCGCGCTGGCTTGCGGTGACAGAGGGGACTCACTCGGCCCGGCAGATGAACCAGATCTCGTTGCGGCGCTGAGGGATGCTGGGGTTTTCGTAAGAAGCCACGATGTAGGTTCCCTGCAGCACCATGTCCGTGGAGCCCAAGAGCTCCCAGAAGAGACTGATCTCCCGCAGAATTGTCTCCTCCGTGGTCATCCCATAGAAAACCCTGCAGCAGCAACGGGAACAGCATAAGCAACAAAGCCAGCACATTGGCACAGCCCATCCCTCTGCCTAACGAACCACAGCAGCCATGCACGGAGTTTGTACATCTCTGCTGAGCTGAGAAAACACCTCTGGTGCTGGGGTCACCTGGTTATAACCCGGAGCGGTGCCCTCTCGGTGATGTGGATTTCGGGGTCCATGGGAACAGGGGGGTTTTGCTGGAACTGTCCTGGGAGATAATAGGCTGTTAGGACCTCACGCTCCAGCTCGGTCCCCTCCTTGGTCAGGTGGATTTCGTTGAGCACCGGGACTGTCATGCCCAGATAGCAACCTGGAAAGAGGCAGGCAGGCAGTGAGACAGTGTGTTAGCAGCAGCAGCAGCAGCAGCCCTCCTCCCCACTCCAGATGGACGGTGACAAAGCCCTTCCCTCTGTGCACTCTGCCCAGCCCCTGCCTGCACACACCTACAGAGTTCTCCTTGCAGATGTAGCGCATGAGCTTCATGAAGCTCATGGAGATGCTCTGCTCATACATGGGCTCCCCCATGGTGACACAGGCCCACTTCCCAGCTGGGTACTGCCGCTCCTCGTAGGCCGCTTCTTCGCACTGAAACAGGCCACAGACAAGCCAAGTCAGGGCTGAGCACACTGACAACACTGCAGCAGCTGGCTGGGAAACCAACACTGACAGGCAGGAAGCGGGGAGACACGAGCCTGCCAAAAGGAGAGCCCCTGCTAGGCAGAGCAGGACAAAGAAGGTGAGGGGAGCTGGCACCACACACACCTCAGACAAGGATACTGATGAGCACTGGGCAGAGGTCAGCAGAAGTCAGCAAAAGGGAAGGCACAGACAAGGGACAGGGTGCAAGGGGGTCTGGAGGCTCCTGGCATGCACAAGGAATGCAGCACATCCTCAGCAAGGGGCACAGGACTTTCAGCTCCTCTTCGGTCCGGCCTACTCACAAGGATGTTCCTGATTCCAGGCACCCAAGGGCCTCCAGTAAGGCTGATATTGTTCTCAGGTGCAGTGCCTTTTCCCTGGAACACTGCATGCACAGAGGGTAACAGAAACATCCCTACCCAGCAGAAGGGAAAATCTGGCAGAAGAGCTCTAGCACCCAGAAGAGCAGCGAAGACTGGAATAAAACTCCTCAGATCCTTCTCCCATACTAAGAAGTGACAGGAGGAAGAAGAGACGTGAACCCAGCTGTGGAATTTTGTGGCATGAGTCAAAATCTCTATTTCCAACACAGAATGTCCAGTATTCTGAACAAACCTGACACAGAAGGGAGGCAAGGGGAATGGGGAAATTGCATCTGGGTATGTTCATAGGCAGTTCCTGGCATGCCTGTGACCACAGGTAACCTAAACAGGTGCTGGGAAGTTGTAGCCAGCACCTCTCTTCCTACTTTCAGCTTGTTCTTCATCCAGATCAGTGGTCATGAAACAACCTTGTCCCACGGAGCTCAAGGCACCTTCCCAAACTTCTTGCTTCCACAGCTGTGATGGCAGTGACGGAGACAGGAAGCTGTGACAAGACTCAGCATGGGGTGCAGCCTCCCTGTGCCTGCACCCAAATCAGGTGTCTATGCTGAAAGCCAAGCCAAAGGCAGAAGGAAGGCAGCAGCTTGAGTGCATCAGTGGGATGCCAGTAAGAAGAATGCCCCAAAACACTGTGGGCATTCCCCCTCTAGCTGGGGCCATGCCTGCCATTGTCCCACCAAGCAAAGCAGAGCAAAGCAAGAGCATTTTCCAAGCAAGGAAAACACCAATCCCTCTACTCCATCTGCCATACCACCTGCAATAAAGGAATCAACCCAGTGAAGACACAGCATCTGGCTGTGCCACAGCCTGATCCTTCCACTAAGCACCACCACCCGGGATGACACTTGTCCAAAAGAAATACAGAAGATGCTTCATGCAGACACAGTAGCAACAGGTCCCTGCAATGTGAGCTGGGGAACTGAGCCCTGACTGAGCTGGGGGCTGAGTGCTGACAGGGCACAGTGCTGTAGGTGGCATAATAATTCACTCGCCTCCAAGAGGATGAGGGCTTGTAGCACTGATAGCTCAGGAAAAGCAACCAATCCTACTGATCTGCCTGAGCCTGGCAAACGTGTCCCTAAGAGCCCCAGCTCCAAAGTCCCCTCGGCACTGATGTCAGGCAGTGGCTCCTCTCACTGAGCCTCACACTCCAAGAATCCTCCTCAGGCACAGATGGGATGCCAACAACAACAAAAGCTCTTCAGTTCCCACAAAGTCTTGGGGCCCCATTCCTGCCTGGGACTGACACAGGCGGGGAAAAGGCCAGATTAAGTCCCTGGGACCCAGAACAAGGAAGGAGGGAGTGTGGTGAAGCCCCAGTTCCAAGCTGCACAAGCCACATGCTCAGACATGTTTTACAGGGAGTGCTGGATCTCAGCCCAGAAGAAATTGGTTAACCACTTCTCATATAGAGGACAATTGACAGATGTCTTCTTGGTAGAAAGCCCAGCTAGGCCTGCAGAGACACAAGAACCAGTCTGACAAGCAGTTATTTCTCAAAGCACAGAAGCACCCTTATGTGCAGGAGATGAAAGTAAGTGTGCAACATAGCCAGCACAAAGAGAAGATCTTCAGGCAAAAGACACCATGTTTGGTTTGGTGGTTGAGACAAATAACTACACATGCTCTCATCTGACAGCCAGCGTCACAGGCCCTCTGTTCCCCACAGACACATCTTTATCTTGTGCCAGCCAGCTGAACTCTCCAGCTCAACCAGACAACATAACCAGCACAAACACAAAGCCAGCAGGACTTCGAGCTACGCAACAAGGTGTTTGGAGAGCGGCAGGGAGCAGGCTCTGAAGTGAAAGCTCACTTCCTTAGCTGTGCCCACCCCAGCAAGAGGATAGGCTGGCAGAGGAGGCAGATGGAAGTCAGAAGACCAGAGAAAGCTGCACGACTTGTCCAATTTTAAATAAAGGCCGGGAAGCTGAGCGCTGCCGTCACTCCACACGAGTGGCAGAGTACTGCAGCGATGGCGGCCGCGGTGCTGCAGGAGCCGGGGCCGGGCTGGCACACGCCGACACGAGGCCCCTTCCCCGCCCGGGCCGGCGGCGGCCGAGGCAGCCCCGCCACGGGAGCCGGGCGTGCGGACAGGGTCAGGCCTCACCTTCCCGTGCTGCGACAGCGACACGTACGGCACGGGCTCGCGAGCGTGCCTGTGCCGGGCCATCTGGGCGATCGGGCCTGCCATGTCTGCAAGGCAAAGCACACGAGAGACGAGGCTCGCCCCGGCCGCGGCGCACAAGGGGTCCCGCTCCGTGCCGTCACGGCCCCGGCGCTCACCTCGGGGCAGGCTCACTCGGTGCGTGCTGGCCACGGCCTCCCAGTGGGCGAACAGCCGTCCCTCCCCCTCCGGGTCGTCCTCGCCGTCGCTGCCGTCGCCGTCCTCCTCGCCCAGCCGCTCCAGGTCCTCCAACGTGATCCGCGCCATCGCGTCCGCCGGGAACGGGACCGGGACCGCCCCGGGGCGGCACAGCACGGCCCGGCGCGGCGGACAGCGCCCCCTGGCGCTCCGGCGGACCGTGGCGGCGCTGTCCCCCCGGCAGGCGGCGCCCGCCCCCGCCCCGCCCGCCCCGTCCCCCTCAGGCCGAGCCGCGGTCGCTTCTAGGGTCGGTTTTATTTAATAAAATAAAGTACAGCGATCATCCGGCGCACCACCGGCGTGCCGGGCGCATGGGGCACTCCCGCCGCTGCCCCGGCCTGGGGGATAGCCCCCCTCCCCGGGCTGGCGACTCTACCTGGTGAGCGTGTGTGACCGGTACCGAGCATGCGGCCGCCGGAGCTGCGCGCCCCGGTGAGCAGCAGAGGAGCATGCGGGCGGGCTGCGGTGCCCGAACTAGCTAGGGACCCCCGGGGGAGGCCGGGCTGGGCAGGCAGACGGTGGCACGAGAACCGGTGATGGGGAGAACAGAGGAGGTGGTGTGGGGAGGTGCCGGGCGCTGCCCCGTGCAGCGCGAAGCCAGGGTGCCCAGCAGCGCGGCAGCCAGCTCAGTTGGAGGAGAGCAGGGAGCTGTGGGAGGACAGGTCCATGCTGCTGGCGCTCAGGCCTCTGCTCTCCGCACGGAAGCCTTGGGTGCCCTGGAAAAAATACAGTGCCCATGAAGTACCTGCAATCCACCCCCGTGCCCCAAAGCTGCCACCCCAACTCCTGCACCCCTTGCCTTGCAAGCCAGGACGGCCCTGGTGCCGCTGTCACACACAGTAGCTGCTGCCTTTGCTCCCAATCTATGGCTGAGCTTTGTGGGGAGGAAGGTGAGTCCTTGGAAGCAACCCCTTCAGATTTGGAGCTCTGACCTCAGACGAGGGGCTACAAGCTCAGGGGTTCTCAGCACTGCACCTGGGGCTCACTAATATGCCCCTCACCCCCTGCACTGCTGGCCACACAGCCCCCAGCCCCATGTGCAGTCCTGCACCAGCCCCACCACTCACACTGTGCTTACCTCAAACGAAGCATCACTAGACTTGTGCAGGTAATTTAAGGACGCAGCTCGTTTCATGCTATAAGAAAGCAGAGGAGAGCAGATGTGATCGTGCTGTGAGGGGTCAGATCCAGACACACAAAGTGGCAGGGCCCACACCTGCCCTGTATGCAGCCTGACCCTTGTACGTACCTGGTGTTCCTGGGCTCCAGGGGACCATTGCCCTGCAGTTTCTTGACCAACATCTCACTGCTCCTCCGTATCACATCCCGGATTTTTCCCAGGGAGCTGCTGCGCTGGAGAGTGCCACTGCCATCCTGGACACAGAGACACAAGCCAGGGTGATGGCTGAGTGGCACTGATCAGGCTCTGGCATGATGCTGATGAGTGGCTGGAACTGGCTCCAAACATCCTCTTGCCCACTTGCACTGAGGGTTTAGCCCTGGCCCAAGGCAGGCTTACTGCTCACTGCATGGGGTTCTCCACAGGACATGGTAACTGGGGAGTCAGCTGCTATTCTCTGGCTCATCCAGCCTGATGCTCCCTCCTGCCAGTGCAAGCTCAACATCCAGACAGGCTGCTGACTTGCTCCCAGCACAAATGGCACTGGCATCTGCACAGTCCTGCTCAAAGATGACACAGCTCCATCACCTGCAACAGCTCAGGCAGCAACTACCAAGGAGGTCCCAGTGGCCAGAGAGGCAACAAGCCCCCAAAATTAGGGATACTTTTGTCAGGCCAGGACAGGCTGCTGGGGCTTTCATTACAAGGATGCTCTCCTCATTTGCTGCTGGCTGGAGGCCATCCTCATCCTCTCCCTCCCCTTGCCCTTCTTCATCACACCATCACCATTCCTCCTCTCTGTCCAGCACTCACACAGATGCACTCCTGGTCCTGCAGACTCACTCACATCACACAAGACCATTTCACACTGCACACACAGCCTTGTCCCATATCTAACACCTCCAAGAGAATTAGCTTTGAGCCTTTGGAGCAGTTCAGGCAGCTCCACTGGGGATGAATTCACTGCACTGTGCTGCCAAGCAGGCACCACCTAGGCCCCCCAACTTTAGCAGCATGCAGCCCCACCAGCTGCCTCAGGAGGTGGCACTTTGCAGGGAGCTTTTCATGTCTACCTGCTTTTTCTGAAGACCAAAACCAGCCTGAAATCTTGTTCCTGAGCCTGTTTTCCTCCCACATGCCTCCAAAAGTCCCTAGTACTCAGTGAGGCACTCTCAGGCCTTGACAGGCTCCAGTCCACCTCCTGCACTTTGCTCTACATGCATGCAAGGCAGAGGTTGACAGCATGGCACCACACCATGCCACCATGTCATCATGCCACCAAACTCTTCCTCTGTGGCCTTGCCTGCTTGTTACATAAGGCTGTGACACCACTGCTGATGTGGAATTACTTTTGCTCTGATGGCTGGATAACAGCAGTCTTCCCTGCTCCTGCTGTGAATGGCTCCTGGAACACTGGGACAGAAGAGAAGGAGGTGAAGTGATGGCAGAAGCCCTTTTACTCCTTAGGAAGATGTGAGGCAGCCCCTTGGAAGCACTCCAAGTGACCAAATGCCTTGTGGCTCAGGCTAGCAGAAGCAATTACCTCAGCACTGTCCCAGCAGCTCTGCAGGCAGGCAGGGTCTCTGCCTTAGGCCAGTGACACCCTTGTGCTGATCATTACACATTGTGGCCCTTGGGGAAGGCTTTTCCAGTGCTCCTCTGCTCTGATCACCCAAACCTGAGCCAGCCCTACACTGTTCTCTAACAGCTGACCATGATTTTTCCTACCAGCAAACCTTTCTCCTGGTATTCCTCTCATCCCTTTTGGGACAAAACAAGTGCATTGAACCTCTTCACATTGTCATTGGGCTGAGGGTTTTCCATGTTGAGAGCCATATGTTGCTGCTGCAAAGGGACCCAGTCACCAGAAATGCAGAGAGCACCCAAAGCAGCAAAGTAAACAATTCAATTCCTGCACGAGGCATCCCGGGCAGGTTTTGAATATCAGTGTGTAGCATTAACAAAGATGGGGAGGTGTCTTTTGCCTCCCCCCCAGACTTGCACTGGGTCACCACTCTCCCTGCAGGGTACTGCTATGCCAGGCACTGTTGCTTTTCCCAGGGCACGCAAGCCAGGGGTGGAAGAGGGAACGCAGCTGGGACAGGGGAGCAGGACCATGGTACAAGGGCAGCAGGATCAGGTCAGGAAGAATGCTCTTGTATCAGAGCTGGAGGATGGAGCCACATTTCCCCAGCTGCAGCGATGCAGACTGACTGCAGACCAACACCAGAACCAAATGCTGCTGCATGCTGGGTTAAAAATAGCCTCTCTACTCCCCCCACTCCCTTTTCTGACGGGTTATTTTTAACCCAGAACATTTATGGGTTTGGTTTGCCGCAGAGCCCCCACCCCATTGCACCCACCAGGATGAGAGCATTCCAAAAAAAATAAGCAGCTCCACCACTGAGCTCCTCTTCACTGCATGCTCCCACCCTGCCTAATGCACGGAGGCAGAGGACTTGGGCAGATTTGGCAGCATGTAGAGCTCAGCACTGAGGGACACAATGGGGTATTTCTTTGGCTAAATAGAAATGCCAAAGGTTGGGGAAGGTCCAAGCTCAGATGCCCCAGGGCAGCCCTGCCACACACGGTTACAGAGCCGAGGTTAGCAGCAACTCCAATTTGAAGGACAGGGAAAAAGCACAGTGGAGCTGGGTCCTTCATCTCCAATGCTCAGCCTGGGAGGGGAGCCCTGGGGGCAGCAAATGCCCCTGTACACACAGACAGACACCAAGCACCCCCAGACCTGCTCCAGCAGCATTTGCACCCACCACCCCAGGGCTGACCGACGCTGGCCTACAGAGCATGGAAAGAAGCACAGGGCAGCAATTTGGGTCAGTCTACCTTTAATTAGAGGTATGGTTGTTACAGCACCAGGTCCAGGACATGGCAAAGCACAGGGGCAGGTGGCCCTGAGGTCCAAACACACCCTGCACTGGAAACTCACCGCTCTCCAGAAGCATGGAGCAGCACTGGGACAGAGAGGACAGCCCTGTGGCACTCTGCCCTGGGCTCCACGCCCCATGTCCTGAGGACAAGCTTCCTTTCAGTAAGCACAAACTCCAGGGGAGCAGCATGCATGTACCCCAAGACCTCTGCACCACCACAGGAAAGCCAGGCCCAGACAGACACAAGCACATTTAGTATCACAACCTGCCCAATGACTAGCATAAAAGGGGATCTAGCTAAATAAATAAGGAGTCCTGTGCTGGCCCCTGGGCTCTATCCTGCTGCCTACAACCTCCCCAGCTTTCTTCCCAGACAGGAGGGCCAGGGAGGTTCCCTTCCTATAGGAGGTGGGATGAGAGTGTACACTCAAGGATGTGAGACCCAAGACAGTGGAGATCTGGCCCTGGGACACATTCTATTCCCAGCAATGACTAACAGCACCAGACCCTGTGAAGGCCTGAAGCCATCAGAGGCACTTGGCCACCCCCACACCCCCTCAGGGTCAGCACGGTGACCCTGCTGGTAACAGGGTTACACATTTCCCACCCACTTGGCTAGGGACAGCCAGACTGCAGTCAGCCCCAGACCTGTGAGCAATCCAGCCCCTACCCCTGCAACAACCTCCCTCCAGCCATCCCATCTGCTCCCACCTGCACAGAGCACCTCCAGCCCTTTGCTTCCTCATATCCATCTTTACACCTTCTTTTTCTCCCAACCACTCTGCTCCAATCCAGGCCATTCCCCATCTCAGACACTTCTAATGATCTGGGGTCTACCCCTTGCAAAAACACTCTTTCCTCCTACCCCTCCTCTACCTTCAAGGAACAGCAAACAACTTCACCCCCACTTCTCCCACCAGCCACACCTAAGAACCCTGTAGCAATGGGGTTGATTCAGCCC